TTAAATATTTTATTTATTTTTCTTTATTTTATGTGTATGAGTGTATTGTCTACATGTAAGTGAGTGCACCCTTGTGCGATGCTGCGGAGGTCAGAAGAGGGCATCGGATTCCCCTGGAACTGGAGTTAAGGACAGTTCTTAGCCGCCATGTGGGTGCTGGGAATCGAACCCAGGGCCTCTGCAAGAGCAGTCAGTACTCTTAACCACTGAGCCACCTATCCAGCCCCAGATAAGTTGGGTTTTTTTGTTTTGTTTTGTTTTGGGTTTTTTTTCGGTCTTTTTGAGACAGGGTCTCCCTGTAGCCCCAGCTGTCCTGGAGCTCACTTTGTAGACCAGGCTGGCCTTGAACTCACAGAGATCTGCCTGCCTCTGCCTCCCAAGTGCTGGGATTAAAGCCATGTGCCACCATGCCCGGCTGGGTATCAGCAGGTTTTAAAGTTCCTCCAGCAATTCTATCATGGAGCAGAGCTTGAGTACCAGAGCAGTTTGAGCACTACACAGCCTGAGTGTCATCTGGGAGCTCATTAGATATAGTCTCTTAAACCTCACTACCCACTTGCTGAATCAGAACCTGGATTCATCTAATATCCTATTGACTAATGCATGGCATGGCATGGTTTGAAAAAGGTCTACTTAGAGCCATGGGTTGAGTTTGAAATTCTGCATTTCTTCATTTTTATTCACATTTATTGTGTGTATGTGTGCATGTGTGCATGTGCATTTACGTGCCTGCCACAGCGTGTGTGTATAGACTCCAACTTGTGGGAGTTGTTTTTTTTCCTTTTACCATATGTGTCCTGACTCAGGTCATTAGGCATGATAGCATCTTTACCTGCTGAACTGTCATGCAGGCCCAGGTTATTATTCTTTTAAAATATGTTTTAAACATTTATTTATTTACTTTGTGAAAGGGTGCATGCCATATGCCTCTGTAGGTCAGAGACTTGTGGGAATTGGTTCTCTCCTTCCGCCATGTAGGTCCTTGGGATTGAACTCAGGTGGTCAGGCTTGGTAACTTGCGCTTTTGCTTGCTGAGCTGTCTCACTGGACCTAGATTCTTTATTTCTAACCAGCTCCCAAGTAATTCTGCTCTGCTCCCACAGTGGAAGAACTAGAAGGTAGAACTTGAGTCACTTAAACTCTTTTGGCCAGCAGGATAGTTATGTTAAGTGATAGAATTAGGGTTCCCCACTGACACTGATGGAGGTATATCATTGAACCACATGAAATAAGATGAACTCCAGCTGGCCTCAGTTCCGCAGTGGATACCAGCTGGGCAGTTTGCATTCCTCAGAATGTCAGTTTCCCAAGACAGTGCCCACTCACTTTACATGCCAATAGAAAGCCCCACATCTCTATCTGGTGTCTTTTGAATTTGCTCAGGCTTTTCTAGAACCCACTGGCACACATTTACAGGTTATTGTAAAGGATCTTATAAAGGTTGCAGATGAAGAGATGAGTAGGGAGAGGTAGGAAGAAAAGGACACTGAGCTTCCATGATTCTCTGGGCACCTCAGCCTCCAGGAACCTCCTTAGGTTGGGTTATCTAGAAACTGAGCCCTGTTCTTTGGGGTTGTTGTGAGGACAGCATTATAAGCATGACTGAAGCACAGCAAGAAGAGCAGGTTCTAGTGGAGAAACCAGAGAGAGCCTATCTGTATTCTTCTTGGCCTCCTCTGTATTCCTTCTTCTTAGGTATGGGGCAAGAGCTCTTCTCAGTAGGGTTCTTTCAGTCTACTATTAAACAGGGAAAGGCAGAGAATTTCTTTATAGCCAGTTCTAAGGCAGAACAACAAAAAGATTAGATTTTTCTTTTTTTAAAACTTTTATTAATTTTTTTAATTGTATGAGTATATTGCCTTCTTGCGTGTAAGTGCACTCATGTTGTACAGTCCCTGCAGAGGTCAAAAGGGAGTGTTGGATCCCCTAGAACTGGAGTTAGCTGCCATGTAAGTGCTGGGAACTGAACCTGGGTCCTGTGAAAGAGGAGCTGGTGCTTTTAACCACTGAGCCATTTCTCCAGCCCCAAGATTAGATTTATTCAATGATCCACTCCATCAGGGAAGATAATTTCTAGTTTCTTTGGTCTACCTCAGGGCAGGAGTTGTGGACTAGCTGCTATGGATAAAAACCAACATATGCAGGAGCTGCCTTGGCAGGGATGCTGTTGAGGGGTGGGTGTGAGTTAGGTTAGGCTTGTAGAAATGAGAGAGAAAACCCAAAACTTATTTCTCTCTTTGTGTGTGTGTGTGTGTGTGTGTGTGTCTGTCTGTCTGTCTGTCTGGTAAAATATCAGTAACTCATTTAAACTGAAGAGTTCATTGATATAAGACTACTGTTTGTTTGAGATAGGGTCTTACTATGTAGCTTTGAATGGCTTCAAACTCAAAATCCTCCTGCCTTAGCCTCCTGAGTGCTGGTGGCATGCCACCATTTATTTTTTCTTTCTTTAATGTATTATTTGAAATAATTACATATTCATGGAAGTTGTAAGTGTACTGGAGTTTAGAGCAGTCCCTTCACACTCTACATATACTGACTTCCAGTGGTAGCGTGTTCACACATAGTAGAGCAGCACTATCAGGAAGTAGAGTAGGCGGAGTGCAGTTAACTGCACTGCAGACCTTGCTCCTTCTGCACTTCTTTATGAGTGAGTATAATGTATGAGATTTCATCATCTCTGTAGATTTGTGTAAAGTATAGAACTAGTATTTTTTGTGTTTGTTTGCTTGTTTTGTTTTTTTTTCCAAGATTGAGTCTCCCTGTAGCCACAGCTGACCTGGAATGAGTCACTATGTAGACCAGGTTGGTCTTGATCTCACAGAGTTCCACCTGCCTCTACCTGTGCTGGGATTAAAGGTGTGCATCACCATACCCGGCCTAGAACTTACATA